ATGGGTGGAGCTGTTTCCGCTGCGGAAAGTGACAGCGCGAGCGGTGCTAGAGAGGCTACAGGAAGTGTTTTGTCGGTTCGGCTTTCCGAAAAGATTGATCACGGACAATGCGTCGTATTTCACCGCTCGGGTGTTTGGTAATACGTGCCGTTCCCTAGGAATAGATCACTGCACCACTTCGCCCTACCATCCCCAGTCCAATTTGACGGAGCGAACCAATCGTACGCTCAAACCGATGTTGGCGGCCTTTGCCGAAAGTCAAAGGGACTGGGCAGACCATTTGAGTGAACTCGCGTTTGCAATCCGAACCTCCGAGAGTCGCTCTACTGGTTTCTCTCCCGCCTTCCTTAATTTCGGAAGGGAGTTGGCAAATCCGGTGACCAGTGTCATGCAATGCCAGCTCGGAGACGAGGAAGAACCGGCAGACTGCTCTGCTTACGCTTCCACACTTCGGGACAGGCTTTGTCGAGCTCTCAGTAGAGCGAGGCAGAGTTTGGCATCGGCCAGGGCCGAACAAAAGGCCCAGTACGACCGAAAACGTCGCCACCTTTCATTTAAGGTGGGTGACCTCGTCCTGAAGCGCAACCACGCTCTTAGCGACGCGAGCAAGGGTTTCTCAACTTCGCTCGCTCCAAAGTGGCTTGGTCCGTACCGAGTGGAGAAAGCTTGGACTCCACTCGCGTACTTGCTGAAAGACCCGCTTTCGGGAAAACTCAGCCGTGCCCACATCGCAGACCTGAAAGCCTTTGCGTCGAGGTCTGACGAGCCTGCGCCAGCGCCCAGTGGCTCTTCGCGCAAGCAACGGCGCACACCCGGCGCGGCGGACCGCATTCGGACCACGCACCGGTATAATTTGAGGAAGCGGTCACGTTAGTGATTTCGCGCCGGACGGCGGGCTTATTTCCGCAATCGAAGGCCCTCATTTTTTACTGTCTAGTCTCAGTTAGCTAACTTCTTTACAGCCAGTGCTTGCAAAGAAGTCTGTTCCGCCCAGCTACTGCTGCTGATTGTCATTTTAGTGCTGTTGTTTACTTGATGTTTTTTTTTTCAGTGTTTTCTTTTTTTTCTTCTCGCTGGAGGAGGGGATTGTGAATTGCTGCTTTAGCGTGGGGAGAGGGACAAAAGTACACTCTGCGCTTCCTTTGCGGTGCGCGTTTGGAGAGACCCGACCATCGGAGGTGTGTGTGCGTGTGTGTGTGTGTGCGTGTGGCGACAGCTTGGGAAGTCACCGACCCCTACACCACTTTGGACTCTGGAGGTGTTCGGAGACATGCACGAGGCTCCTGCACGAGGCCAGCTGTCGCAGACGCTGTGCACGACTCGACCGACGCCGCAGGACGCCTCGCAGCCACTGGATTTGGCGACCATTATTCCAGCAGAAGGGCCGGCTGTCGCAGCGAGGTCCATCCGAACCTCCACCGAGGCGGCGTTCGTCGGACTCGCTTGGCTGTCGTCCACATCGACGAGACGAAGGTGAGCCCGTTCCTCGCATGAAGGCCTCAACCGGAACCCTCCCCTCGAACTCTCGCATCCACGCAGTCACCCAAGTCAAACATTACGTGACGCTGCCCTCCGAGCCGTGGACGCGCTCTTGCATGAGCATCATGAACTCCCGTTACCCCTCTTCCGCGGAGCCATTCTATTTGTCAAGTGTATTCTTGTGTTGTTTTTTTCTTCAGCAGCAGTTGCAGAGCGAGGCTGAGGCTAGCTGTTGCCCATTGCATGACGCCTTTGCATGCATGGGCGACGACCGGCTGCCTTTGCAGACCGGTATATAGGGTGAATTAAGGAGAGGAGGATGTGGGGATCTGAGGCGCGCCCGCGACCATTTTCGCGGGCATTCCGCCACACGGCCACACCCTTTTGCTTTCCTGCCCTGTTAACACCGCGTGGCGATAGATGGCGCCACGTGCGGGCAAGTGGCGCGCGCCGAGGGAGCGGGCTCTTCTCCGTTGGACGGCGCCGGGTAAGCACGTGTTTTCCTTCGTCCGCGTCCCCTTTGGGAATCGCCGGACTGCAGCCTGCCTGGGGTGGCCTTGGGCACCTCGGCAGGCGTGTTTACTTGAGTGCTAGCTTCGGTAGCGTACGCTAAGCCCACAGCGGTGCCTAGTGCTTGAAGTGGTCGTACCACAACGAGCCGCACTTGCCGTAGGCCCAGCGCGTACGAGGTTTGCCCTAACACTCGCGACCAGGCCCAGTGGCCATCGTGAGAGTGCGCAGCATAGCCGCGAGGGACCTTTTCCCGACCGGCGTGTCAAAGCTCGCCATTGCCAGCTGCGACGTGCTCGCGGTTTTCCCCTTATTGTGAACGTCCGCGTGCGGGTGCCTTTGCTACCCGCGTCTCGGGAGCGGACGTTGTGCTGTTGTTCGGGGTGCCGCCAGAGGCAATAAAGTGTTGTGTACTGTTACATTAGAACACTATTTGCCGCGCCGCGCTAAACGCCTTATCAGTTGAGCGCGCGCGGTGCGCTACACGCGAGTAAACGGAGTAGCGGCCCTGTGGCTCGCTAAGCGTGAACCCGCGGTGATCGTCCGCTGCAGTTAGGAGCGGGGTCACCATAAGCTTCAAAGAATTGATCAGCCAATTCAAGCATTCCTTCAAGTGACTCAGCCTTCCTCTCTTTCAAGTACAGCAACAGGCTTGGGTGGCAACTAGTAAGAAATTGTTCTCGAATTAGGAGCTCTCTAAGTTCATCGTACTCCTGCGCTGTCCCTGAATGTTCAATCCATCTGTCGAAATAATGGCAAAGTCGGGCGGCATACTGCGTAGCCGTCTCACCATCAGCTGGCTTTCCTGTCCGAAATCTGTTCCGGAATCCTTCCACGGTAAATCTAAATCGCTTCAGCAAAGCAGCTTTCACCTTTGCATAGTTGGCTGCATCAGTCGGCGTCAGCCTACCGTACACACTGAGCGCTTCACCACTCAAGCAAGTACTCAAAGCAATTGCCCATTGATGTTCCGGCCAATTCTGGCTCCTTGCAATCGTCTCAAATCTGTGAAGGTACGCGTCAAGGTCGTCCTTCCTTTCATCAAACGCTACGAGCAGCTTGCTTGGGTTCAAGCGGAAGCCATGATCTTCCCATTCGCTGCTTTCGACTCTAGCTTGGACGGGAGTTTCGCTTCGCTGTTGCAAACGGAGCCGCTCGAGTTCAATTTCGTGCTGCCGCTGCCGTTCCCTTTCAGCCATCTCCGCTTCTCTTTCTTCTCTCGCCCTTCTGGCTGCCAACTTTTCTCGTTCCAACTCAGCTGCTTTTTCTTCCTTGGCTCTCTCAGCTGCCTCTTTCTCCTTCTGGCTTACCCACTTCTGTAGTTCGGCGCCAGAAAGACCCATCTTCTCACCAAGAGTGACTAACTTTTCGAGATCCATTGTGTCTCGCAAATAAAGTCTTGCCGCGTGCAAAAAGTATCTGCCTAAATCAGTCTATCGGAACACTCCACTGCACTCGTTAACGAGAACACTGAACAACACACAAAATCGTTCCGATAGCACTATCAACACTCGAGGCTCGTTCTCACTACTTTGGACACACTGTGCACCAAAAGGTCCTGTGTGGCGGACGCCAGAATAATTGTCACACAGGTCCCGTTAATTAGGGAGGCAATCGCCGGGCTAATTCCAAGGGCCGAAATATCGGCCCCCCGAACCGTACCACAAAAGCGTGGACAATTTAGAAGTGGTCCTTTTTGGCGCGCCAGCGGATGCCGGCTGTGGCCCAAAGAGCAAATCAGAGCCGAGAGTTGATAAACAAACAAAATTATATTCTCACTAATGGCAGATCGAAAACAATACACAAGTATGCACACTCCACAATAGTTGAGTACAATATGTCACCAATTAAACAACGTACTACACAGTACAATCAGCCACACTCGAAACAACGGACACAGACAACAATACACACTACAATGCAGTCGCATGCATTGAACAACCAAGACATTTAAAGACTAACGAGATAGAAAACCTATCCAGTCCAAAGTTCTTGGAACAAAAGTCTGGATGATACTCTTCCGAGAATCACTCACTCACAGTCCCGCGTTGTTGTCGTTCCGCAGCCCCCGAAGGTTCTCTTCCAGGAAACCTCGCCGAAGTTTCTCTTCCAGGAAACCTCGCGTCTTCAATTGGCCACTCTCCAAGCTTCAAACTTCTTCGCCGAAAACACGTCGGCTTCACACACGCAGCTGTTGCCACGCGTCTTCGCTCGATAGCGGTAAACACACACTCTTGCCTGTAGCTCGAGTCGTCACCCCTCAGGTGGAAATCATCTTCTTGTCCTGCTTTGTCTCTACGGACAAAACCTTCGCCGACTACACGGCGGAATCCCTACGCGCTCAGGCGCTAACTTCCGTCTTCTCCTCCGAAGTTTCTCTTCCAGGAAACCTCACGTCTTTTCCTGCTTTGTCCGTACGGACAAAACCTTCGCCGACTACACGACGGGATACCCTACGCGCTCTGGCGCTAACTTCCGTCTTCTCCTTCGAAGTTTCTCTTCCAGGAAACCTCACGTCTTCTCCTGCTTTGTCCCAACGGACAAAACCTTCGCCGACTACACGGCGGGATACCCTACGCGCTCTGGCGCTAACTTCCGTCTTCTCCTCATCTCTCATCTCCGCTGCTGGGTTAAATACCTTCCGCGCGACATTCCAGAAAGTTCTCATCATTTCGTCGGCGCGATGCGCAGCGGAGGCTGGGGGAAGGCGCGAGACTGTACGAGGGCCGTCCCCGACAGATGACTCAACCCGGCATAACACGCCCTTCCTTCTAGAAATTTCGAGTGCTTGCTCGGCCGCCAATGTGGGGTGAGGAGGTTCGTCGGCGAAGCCACGCTTCCGAGGGGAGAGAGTCGCGCGCCCGGGGAGCCTTGGATGTTTGTTTTCTCTTTTTTTGTTCTTTTATCGTTGACCTCGAGGCGTTACTCCGGCGTTTCATCGCGAGAATTTGGCGGCGCGCCCTTTTTGAGCGCTCGTTCTGTGACACCATTCTCATGTTCAAATGACCTACCTTTGGTTTGGGTTTGAGGGGAGGGGCTTGCTTGGAGCCCGTCCTCTGGTAGTAGAGCTCTGGTGTTGGCCACTCGTCACCCCGGCCCGCATAGGGAAACGGGTCTGCCCACACGCCCCCACCTGTAGAGAGGATAATGGGTCCAAGATCAGCATCTGGATTATTTTGCTCCTTTGAGGACCGCACCGATTCTCGTATTTATTACAAAGGCGCGAAATTGCTTTGGCCACATGTAGACAAGTTCAACTTATCACAGTCGGCCTATTGGAGTCCTCCGCAATACCTTTGCTGTCTGTCCTCAAGAGCTGTTTGTTTTCTTTGACCCACCTTCTGTTGGTCTAACGAACCCCTGTTCCTTTTCTCAAGGTAATGTAACAACTGCGACCTGCTATTTCTTCTGATCTCCTTTATAATTTTAGCTACACTCACTTCTTCTATAAACCACATTATTTTTTCAAGAGGAACCAGTTTTCAAGGTGTGGTGACTACAACAGCTACGACAATGCTTACAATGCAAGGAAGTTGGCATTTTACTATCCTTGTCTTATGACAAAACAAAGCATTTTTTTCCTCTACATGCCCATGAACGTAAAATTGTCTGGCTGTTCATTGACCAATGAAGTGGCACTATCAACCATGACACAATGCGTCATGAATCAGGCGGCATGAGGACCATTTTAAAGTGAAAATTTTTAAGGAAGGGTCGCTACAAAATAAAATAGAGGTTAAAAAAAACATACACACAATCTACTAACTGCATAATATGAAAGCTCTGAGTAAGGGCCCCACTAACGAAAGGGATGGTATTTCATTAAATTTAATTTATTTCACATTATATTGCTATTAGTGTTAAAAACAACAATTATTGTCCCCTGTGCTTTCTTCACTTTATTGTAAAAAATAAATGAGCTCTTCCTCTCTTTTGTTATTACAATAGCCATTGCACCCCCACATATGTGTGATAACCATTGAAGAAAAAAAAAAGAAGAAGGCCACATGTGGTTGCTTCAACTGAAAGTTTATAGCAGGAAGTGCATACAATACCATTTTATGAAGAGCATATCATAAACATTAACCTGAAGCACGTGTGGCTTGTCTTTTTGAGTGTGTGTGTGTTCATGTCTGTAGCAAATTTGCAAAACCCGGTATTACAAATCAACATTAATTGGCCCGATCTAACTGTGCAACTGAATGCAAGCAGCGCATTAATTTCAAAAATTGTTGTCAAGTTGAAGCTTTGAAGGAGACAAGACTGATTGTCGAAACACTAGTTTTTGATGATGTCTCGTGTTCTAGAATTAACATGCCTTTAGCAAGTGCCCCGCAGTGTACAAAAAAAAAAATCCAGCAGCAAAAGAAGCACAACACAAAAGCGCACATCAACACACGAACTGCGTCACCTGTGTCCAAGCCCAGGGACTCCTGGGATCCAGCCTCTGTGGCAGCATGCGCGCAAAACAGGAAAGAGTAGGAGGGGAGGGGTGTGGGCATACAGTCAGAAGACAGGCCACAGAGGCACCAAAGCACACATGCCACCAGCCCTGTTTTGGCAATAAGCACAGCACGGCCAAGCACAGAGAATAACAGAAGGCCCCGATGGCAGTGGCAAAGCAAAAGAGCGAGAAAGAGGTGGTGGCAAAGACATGAGAAGACAAAGACAAGTCAATAGGAAATGCAGAGTGGCCCCTTTAACATGTTTTTAATGGAACTGAAAAAGAAAATAAACGATGCAGTCAGAAAACTTGTCACAAAGATGTGGTTAACACTGAAAAAAATTGCTGCTGAATAAGCGAACAGATGCACTGCAGACAGCTCTCAGCAGAATTTATTGGTGCGTTTAAAAGGGGTGCCGAGTCTAGTGATGCAAAACTATTGTAAAATGGACTATCGATAGCATTGATACTTTACTTTCGGCTATCGTTAGTGCGAAGAAACTATCGATAGCGCGATCGATAGTACTGTCGATAGTATTGCTACCGACATTATCATTCCTATTTTTACGAATAATTATGCTGTTTCTGGTTTGCGATGTTGTCCAAAACTCTTCGCAATTATCTACTATCAGCAATAACTCAGTTATTGCTGATAATTTATGAGCAATTTCTTGGCAAAATGTCAATTAACTCGGCAGGCAAAATGCGGGAATATGTCCATCAATAAAATAATACTTCAAAAGTAACAAACTACACCTTACACCAATAAACCTAGCTCTCTATATTTTGATTTTGAAATCACAAAATGCTATATAAATTTGAAGCTGTGCAGTACCGTCAAATGAAACAATCTCATTTCCTGTACACCACAACAATTCAACTTCGTTGTCTCGTGTCAGCCAAGAATTCTGGTGATAATTCTGATGATAACTTTCTTGCCCTTCAGCCTGCTCCTCTCCTCCTGTTCGACACACTTATGGAACCAAGTTTGTGCACCTATGAGTTGGCGCAGTTGACTTCATACTATTCGTAGTACTGTCAAACTGGTTGTCAGTAGCACAATCAATTTTTTTCCAACATTGATAGTTTGATAGTGACTGAATGATCAATAGTTTTGCATCACTAGTAGTGACATAAATTTTTTTTTCTAACATTGATAGTTTGATAGTGACTGAATGATCAATAGTTTTGCATCACTAGTAGTGACATAAATTTCAGTAGATGAGTTTACTTTGCCATAAAAACCAGTGTATACAAGAGATGGCTCTGAGCTGGTATGAAGCTGGGTAAATGCTGATACAATATTTCATTTGGACATTACACTCAAACCTCATTATAACAAAGTTGCATCGTATAATAAAATAAGTTTGTTATATCCGAAAATTCGTTATAAAGATTATTTCCAACACTATCTATTGCAAGGCTATTTTTCATTTACTTCATGAAAACCGATATTTCAACACTATCTATTGCAAGACTATTTTTCATTTACTTCATGAAAACCGATATTTCGTTATATCGGTGTTCGTTATATCGAGGTTTGAGTGTGAAACTCGATTTTTACATGGTGCACCTACTGATGTCGACATTACCATGATGTCAGCCTACAGAGCCAATTCTGCGCCAACCGCCTGTGTTCACACACCACTATGGCAAGCTGCAATGACACCAGGCACCAAAACATTCAAAATGGGCACCTTGTGCTTGACCAAAGGGGCCACACAGCGAAGCAGCCGTGGAAACACCACAGTGCGTCGTGTGAGCACATAACGACAAGCACATTTACGTTAAATGTTGAAGTAAACATATATTACATGACAACACAGAAGCAGTGAGGGAGCAAATACCCCCTGTAAAGTCGTTTGCGCCTTGTGGCGCACACGTGTTTCGTGCATAGGCCGCATTCGGGGTTCACAACCACCAAGCGGCACGTGGCATTGTGCTTGCGAGCGTCTTTACCATCATCCTCATTATGGTTAGCGCGGTAGCACCAGCAGTGACGCCTGGCGGCGAGTCGAGGTGGTCTGACAGAAAAGAGTGGCGAGTCCTTTTGGCGTGTGGCGATTGACATAGATGGTTGTCTCCTGACGGGGCCCCGCGGGGAACGGCGACCGCAGGTCCCTAGCGGTGAGTCAAACATCGGCAATACCGCCTTCGCGTTACCTTGTGTTTGTCCTTATGTTGATTGAGTGTATTGCACATAGTGCTGATGCGATTGAGTGTTGATTGAGTGTATTGGAGATGTGTGAGGTTGTTTTAGCGTGCTGATCCCTTGTGATGTATTTTGATTCAGCTGACGATTTAGTCGATGCACAAAAAAAGTTGAATAAACGTGTGTGTTTGTTCTGACCACGTATGCTGTGCCTGTGTGTTCTGAGAGTGGCGATCTAATTTCGAGATCCCACAAAGCGAAACCAGCTTTTAAAGACATACTGCAATTACTTTTTCAGGGTGCACTCACACTCAGCAGTACATTTTTCAGGTCTGAGCTTGGCCCTTCATACAAGCAAAATAAAGGCCAACTAAAAATGTCTTGTGACAGCAAATTTCTAAAGCTTAAAGAAGTCCCTGATGGAAATCTGGCATTCTTTCATGCCTGTACCAGAACCAAAGTCTTTCTGAGCCCTAAAGGGGGCTTTGAAGAAGCCAATATCACAAAACTCATTGACGTAAATTTCCAGCACATTCAGTGCAATGATAGTTCAGTTAGTAACAGATCACACAACAACCTTGTGAAAGCATCCAAATATTCAAATAATGTAGCACTTTTTTTTTCATACACAGCGTGAAACACAATGGGGGCTAATGAGAGAAAAATTAGGAGGGCCTACTCTTGCAGTCATGCAACACACCTACATACACTTTACAACTACAGTTTGAGCCACTATTTGTTCGTTAGAGCACTAAAAAGATGGGTATTATTTGAAACTCAAAAAGCCAGAAAGCCAACCTCAGAAAGGCAAAATTATAAAGATGAGAAAAATCTAAGCAGCAGTAGCTACGTTTGCAGTGCTAAGTTCATAACCACTACAGTGCCAGGGTTACCACGAGTAATTATGCGAGAAACTACGAAATGAGCCACCTGCTAGGCCTAACTTGTAGTAGCAAGCAAAAGAAAAGGACAAAGAAAAAGGCAAGAATCAGCTGCCAAAAATGAGCAGTGAAAAAAAAAAAAAAAAAGAAAAACTTTGTGAAATCTGCAGTGGCAGACTTTTCCGAGGGGGGAAAAAAGATTAGAAAGAGAGAGAAAGACCTGAAGAGATGGAGGGGCCCTTCTGAAGACGGGCCGAGGCGGAAAAGTCCGGCGGCGCCGGTTCGGGGGGTGGAGGATACACCCCCTGCAGGAAGTCGCAGCTGGCTGCTCACAGAAGGCAGGGTCAGGAGGAGGGGAGAGGGGAAGACAGAGAGAGACTCAGGCTTGTCTCCAAGGCAACAACAACGCACCGTGCAGCACACGCACAGCCATTCCGCGATGCATTACTGAAGCAACACGTTTAGCCCAAAAAACCATGACAGGCGCAAAAGCCCGCTGTTCACGAAGAAAAAGTGTTAGGAATCTGAAAGTGATTCCCTCCAGTGCTGCGACCCAATGCTTTACCATGCAACGCCAATTGGGTACATCAGTGCACAACCTTTGAGTGCCAAAGTGCAATTTGCCCAAGCAAGAGTACACCCTTGCTGTCATTTGC